AAAAAGCACTTGACACAGAAGCATGAAATTTTCAGTGATGCTAGAGCAATCTTTGGAGAAGAGTATTAGGTATATCATTACAACCGGAAGTACAAAGCGCCGACGCTCGCTATGGTCCGAAAATAGTCCTATCGCGAATTTCAAAATTTTAAGCACATTTTCTACAATATCTTTTTACCTGTAAATATTTTGTTTAAACATATAGAACAAAGGAAGTGTAAAATTTCAAGATCTTTCAAATGATATCTTGTAAAAGGGGCTGGCCCCTAAAATGAAGGGCCTAGAGGGGCCAAAATTTTTTTCTTTATATCTCAAAAAGTATTGAGAATTTGTAATACGTCAAAGAAGCAAAGTTGTTCAATATGCCAAGCTTCATCTATTGAAGTCGTCAAAATACGTCCGTCGTCATCACTTCCGGCAAAACCGGCAAAACCGGAAGTGGTCGGAAAACGCGTTTTTTTGCCGTTCTTGACAAGTTTTTTGGTTACATATGTCTCTGGGAGCATTAAAAGAAGTTTTTCCGTCCGTTGTCGTCACTTCCGGTCAAACCGGAAGTAGCAAAAAATGACTTATTTTGAAGGTTTTGATGCAAAATTGAAATTATAAAGTTACTGGAGACTACTTAGCTTATTGCTGTCTTTTGTTCCGTCACTTCCGGCACTACCGGTCAAAACTGGACGGAAGACCTACTCGTTGCTTTGCAACGAGCTTTGCTCTAGTTATTATTATTGTTTTTTTTTCTTACCGATTTTGTACGCACGATTTCTCGAGGACGGCTCGATCGATTTTCATGAAACTTTCAGGTCTGATAGAACATCAAAAAATCTAGATATATATTTTTTTATTTTGGTGACGTCACTTCCGGTTCGGAGTTTTCTGCGATTTAGTGATTTTTAGAGGGTCACTTTGTCCGGCAGTTTTCTCATAAAGCACTTAACACAGAAGCTTGAAATTTTCAGTGATGCTAGAGCAACTTTTGGAGAAGTGCACTAAGTATATCACAACTACCGGAAGTACGAAGCGCCGACCTCGCTATGGCCCGAAAATAGTCCTATCAAAAATTTCAAAATTTTAAGCACTTTTTCAACGATAACTTTTTACCTAGAAATATTTTGTAAAAACATGTAGAACAAAAAGGTGTAGAATTTCAAGATCTTTCAAATAAATCTCGAAAAAAGGGCTGGCCCCTTAAATCAGGGGCCTGGAGGGGCCGAAAGTTTTTCCTTTATATCTCAAAAAGTATTGAAAATTTGTGATACGTCAAAGAAGCAAAATTGTTCAAAATGTCAAGCTTAATCTATTGAAGTCGTCAAAATACGTCCGGCGTCGTCACTTCCGGTCAAACCGGAAGTAGTTGGAAAACACGTATTTCTGCCGTTCTTGACAAGTTTTCTGGTAACATATGTCCCTGTGAGCATTATAATTAATTTTTCGTCAGTCGTCATCACTTCCGGTCAAACCGGAAGTAACAGAAAATGGCTTATTTTTGCAATAATTAACATGGATTTAGAGGTATCAAACCTTTTTTGGACGTTATTTCTCATTTCTGTTAAAAATAAAAGCCGCTTCCGGTCAACCATGACGGAAGACCTACTCGTTGCTTTGCAACGAGCTTTGCTCTAGTTATTATTATTTTTTTCTTCTGTGGATTCTGTGCATGCAAATTCCCGGAAACGGCTAGTTTGATTTTCGTGAAACTTTCAGGTCGGGTAGAACATAAAAAAATCTAGACATATTTTGTTTTCATTTGATGACGTCATTTTCGTTCCGGAGATTTTTGCGATTAAGTGATATTTAGAGGGTCACTTTGTCCGCTTTTTTTTCTAAAAAAAACCCTCTTATAATAGGAACTTGATATTTTCAGCGATGAGTAATGTTTGTAGATTTGTACTAAGTTGTTCATTTTCCCGGAAGTGCCGCACGTTGACGCTCGGTATGCTCTGAAAATATTCATATTGAGAATTTCAATTTTTTAGGATTTTTTCAACAATACCCCTTTACTTAGCTTGTAAATATTTTGTTAAAACATACAAGACAAACGTTGTGCAGAATGAAAGGTATTCCATTTGATATCAACAAATTGGGGCTTGTCCCAAGAATAAGGAATCTACAGGGGCTGAAAGTGTTTACTCAATATCTTAAAGACTATTGGGAATTTGTGATTCATAATTGAATCAATCTATTTTAAATGACAAGCAGAAGTGAGTAAGATTGTCGAACGTCGTCAGATTAAAAAAAAAGCTTGATCGTGAAAATAAATCGTCGCGAATAAAAGATGGCTTATAATGATTTGGTATACATTACTGAAGCAAAATTATTTATCGTAATAAACTACTACAGTATTTTTAGGTCACCTGAGTAACTCAGGTGACCTATTGCTATCCGTTTTCGTCCGTCGTCGTGTGTCGTGTGTCGTGCGTCGTGTGTTAACATTTGAACATTTTCAGCTTCTTCTCTGAAACCACTGAACCAATTTCAACCAAATTTGGTATACAGCATCTATGGGTGAGGAGGAACAAAAATTTTGAATTTTATGGTCCCCCCCCCCCCGGGGCCTGAGGGATGGGGCCAAAACCACAAAAATTATTGCAATCTTTAAAATTCTTCTTCTTTACTCCTGGACATCAAGCAAGCAAACTGTTGGCATGAATGTAATGAGCGTTGAGTCCTCTACCAAAATTGTGAAATTCACGGCCCCAGGGTCAGGGGTTCTAGTACTAGGGCAGAGCTATATAGATTATATAGTGAAAATGCATTATTTCTTTGAAAATCTTCTTCTCTGCTCCTAGGTATTAAGTAAACTAACTAAGTACATAGTTATAATGAGCAAGAGTGCCTGTTCCAAAATTGTGAATTTTATGGCCCCAGGGTCAGGGGTTCTGGTGTTAGGGTGGGGCTCTATTGATTATATAGTGAAAATACATTAATTCTTTGAAAACCTTCTTCTTTTCTCCCGGGTTTTATGCCAATGATCTAAGAATATATATTTATGATGAAGAAAAGTGCATCTAGCAAAATGCAAAATGGTTATTTTTTATGCCCCCCCCCCCTTCCTGGGTCGGAGGTGGGGTGGGTGGTACACAGTCTGAAAATAAATTTATGCTTTGAAATCTGCTCTTTGGTATTAATCAACCGATTTATGATAAAATTTGCAAAATTTTGAAATATGTGGCCCCAGGGTCAGTGGTTCCATTGGGATGATGTGCACAACTAGTTATCAAGCGGAAGTGCATTTTCTCTTTGTTACTCTGATCTACCTTTTGGTATTAAGTAAATAGAGTAAGCATGCCACATGTAAGTCTATAACTAGGATAAGCAATGGTGCCTCTTTCAAAATTGTGAATTGCGAATTTCATGGCCTCTGGTTTAAAACAGGAACCAAATTTAATTATTTGAAAGTTGTTGCACAATACTCAGGTGACCTATAAGGCTCGTGGGCCTCTTGTATGATTTTTATGTCCTATGATACATAAATAGGGGCAACAAGGGGCCAGAATGCTAGATCTTAGAAGCTTTATATCTCTCAAAAGTGGGAAATATTTTAATTAATGATATTAAACAAATGTTGTTCAAAATGATTGTCTAAACAATATACAACCTTTCAATTTTGCTAAAAGTTCCCATTTAGAAGTTGAAAGGTTGGCCCCTAAATATTTCTTTCGCAAATATCTCGGAAAGAAAAGCAATCTCTGAATAAACAAAAAGTGTTGAAATCTTGAGAGCTTTGCGGTAAAATCAAGAAAAAGGGGCCGAGAGGGGCCAAAAGTCTTTAATTCATAACTCTTTAACAATCGATGTTTTATTATTCAATACTGAAACAAAAATGTTGATCTCAAAAATTTTGAACTAAATATTAAGGTAATCAAATCACATTTTATATAATTAGGGGCCATACCTGGCCAGAATGCCAAATCTTTGACACTCTGTTTCTCCAAAGTGGTTAATGTTTTGATAAGCAATAGTGAATAACATATGTTCAAAATGATGTTCTGCGCAATGTTGTACTTTTCGATTTTCGCTAAATGTCTTCATTCAAAAGTAGCTGAAGGGCCAGCTCCTTAAATCTATCTTTTGCATAAATCTTGGAAAAGGAAAAACAATTCCGAATACTTGTTGAACAAAATCATGGGAGCTTTAAAGTGGTTTGAAGAAAAAGCCATTGACAGCTCAAAATAGGGGCTAAGAGGAGCCGAAAATCTTTCATCAATAAATCTTTAACGATCAATATTTTATGAAACATTACTGAAGCAAAACAGTTTATCTCAACAATCTTCAACTTATTATTTTGACATTCACCTCATATATTAAATAACTAAGGGCCAAAAGGGACCAAAAATGCCAAATATTTGGCACTCTATATCTCGAAAGTGGGAAGTGTTTTGATATGCAATATTTAATAAAGATGTTCAAAATAATGTTCTGAAAATATTTAACCTTTCGATTTTTTGCTAAACATACCCATTAAGCAGTTGAAGGGGTGGCCCTTAAATACTTCTTTTGCAATTACATCGGAAACGAAAAGGAATCTGAATAGTTGTTGAACAAGTTCAAAATCATGAGAGCTTTACGGTGATATCAGGAAAAGGATCTAATCCCTTAGAATAGGGACCGAAAGGAGCCGCAATTTTTGCTAGACTTCCTTATTTAGGACTTGAAGACCGGCCTTTAATATATATTTCTTTTGCATATATCTTGTAAAAAAAAATTTTGAATTAATGTTGAACAAAAAGTGTTCAAAATCATCAAAGCTTTAAGATGATATCAAGAAAAAGAAGCTGACCACTTTAAGGGGCCAAGATGAACGGAAAGTCTTTAATCTATAACTTTGTAATGAACAATATTTTGTTTCAAAACAATTAATTTATATCAATATTTTTTAACGGGTAAAATCTCAGTCAATTTCTTTTCTCATCTTTTCGGAAATTGGACGGAAGCTCGCAACAAGATAGCATCTAGTTATTATTATTACTATTATAAATTAATTATTTTTTTTCTTTTAGGAAAGCGTGGGTCAACCTCTATTAAGAACTGCAGCGTTGGATGTTACTTCGACGGCGGTAAAGAAAATAACGCAAATAAAAATAAGCATTGTGGGTAATCTAATTGCAAGATAAAGTTTAAAGAAACAGTCTTAAAACGCTAAAGAATCACTATTGCAAACGAATATAAACTAAAACACTTAACACATATACACAACTTATTGTGAAGACTCCACAGAATGACACTTTAATAGCCATTGTCTGCAAGCATTCAATTAAACTCTTGTTTAGGGAGTGTAGCACGCGTGGTCTTGGATTTTTATGAAACTTGGCACACATTCCTTTATTGATATAGGAAACTGAAAATCATTATAACATGATTTCTATGGCCCATGGTTACCATGGCAACCAACATACGTTTTTCATGGCCTAAAATCGCTAAATTTTGATGAAAAATACCCTTTTATGACATATCAAAAGTTTTTAATAGAACAAGATATTTACATGCCTTTACCCTTGCCAGAATACACAATTTTATAGTTCTTAAGATAGTTTTTAGTATTTTAGTAACTTTACCTCATTGAAAAAATATCCCCCCGTTTTTGGGTAGGATTTTCAGGGGGAAAATTGTAGAAGGCTCACTTGAAAAGCCTGGTATAAAGAAGATGGGCGCATTTGGCGTGTGATCTGCAGGAATCATTTGTACGAATCATTTATGGTTTAAATGTCCATGATTTGGTTGGCTGAATATAGCTGGTCAGATTTTACAAACATGTCCACAGGTTTTTTTTTCATTTAGTTTGAAAGTGTGAGATTGTAACATTTTTGATCGTTTTTCCTAAGGGGTACTATAACATAGTAATGTTTCACAAAAAATAAACACCTAAAATATTTAATGCATATAGATGCATTATACGTGTACATGTACATTATATAGAATAGAAGATTGGAATTGAATTCGCTCGAGAACCAAACTGAACCAAAAATTATCTTATTCAAAATTTTAATACATCAGTACATAAAAACGAAACTGAGGAAATAAATGGTTGTTTGCATGAAAAAAAAATAATTAACGCCCTATGCCAGGCTCGAACCAAAAACTTTGCGATGCCAGTACAATGAACAGGTAGCCCAACTTACTGAGCTATCACCGATACACATACACGGATGATTTTAAAAGGACAAAGAATCCCACTTTCACATATTTGGATTTTTGGGGGGAAAGTTCGTTTTTCTTTGTCTCTGGGTTTTCTCTCAATTTTTTAAAAAATTGTATTCGTTTCTTTGAATTAAAATACATACAAATCACGTTTCAGAATTATAGAGAGAAGACCCAGAGATAGAAAATGTTTAGAAAAACGTGTTTAAAAATGTACCATTTTGTACCAAATGTCTAATCTGGCCAATTTTCAAATTATTTTTTAGCAAATCAAACCTCAATTTCAGGAAAATATTTTCCTTTCCTGTTCCACAGGAACCCGATAAATAAAAATAATGTTAAAATTTCATGTGACATGTCGATAAAATGTTCACTTTTTAAGTACGCCCAGATTCCTGCCGAATGTCAATCAAAAGCGCCCTCGTTCTTTTTGCGGACAGTTGGGAAAAGTTAAATACATTGGTTTGAAAGTCCATATATAGTTCTACTCTAAGCTACAAAAAACCATTAGTTTTCGTGTAACCATGGTTAGAATTTATGCTTTAAAAAAATTTCAAACAAGGGAAATAGGTATATACAATCAGTTTCAATATAATACTTGATTATTTTAAAATGGTTTAAAACAAAGAATGGGTGGACTTAACTGCCCAGAAAAAATGCCGCAAATTTAAGTTTCACAAAATGTTTATTTTTTTTTTTTTTATCTTAACCGTGTATTCATGGTACGGATATTAATTTAAAACGCTTTTTTCGAGGTAAACTAAATAAAAATCGAAGGCATGGTGTCTGAAGATTTTTTGAATATCAATAGATTAAACTCTCCGTGTGAACAGGGCATTTGTATCGAAAAACGACAAGTCCCCTTTTTGGAACATCGAATTTTACCTATGCATAAAAACGTACCCTTCACAATTTGTGTTTTATATTCTTAAAGTGAAACACATGATTTAAAATAGGTGATGCATGAGTCTAGTTTCAATTTATATTTGATGCAGCCAACATTTACACGAGGAATTGATAAAATTGAAAAAGGGTATCGTTTTTGTTCGATATTCATCCGACTATGTTTTCAATATATTCTCGACTATTGTCTCCTTCCTTTAGACGCATGCCTTTTTTCGAACATATCGAAGCGCTTTGATTATAAAGACTCATATCCATTGTTTACTTTATTTATTTCCCGGGCGACAGTTGATGGTTACATCAATGTTTTGTTGTTTGTTCTTGATACAAGTAACAGCTTTTTATACCCGCACTTTCTAAAGAAAGTTCGGGTATATTGTTGTTACTCATGTCCGTCCGTCCGTGTTTACGAGAGTGCATTTATTGGGTATTTTTCATGCCAAGATTGTACTTATTGGGTACTTTTTGCTTATTGGGTATACCCAATAAGAAGTGTCGCTGAATATGCTTAAAACATCCTAATTGGGTATTTCCAGGTAAGTACCCAACAAAACTTGGACACGACGATTTGTCCAAAAAAGTGTCCAAAAAAGTTGCTTTCACGGACGCACCGTGTTTTGATGTTTCAGTTTTACATTCGGAACTCTAAATTCTCGAGAGTTCCGAAAATCAACTTCCGTTGATCCTGATCATAACAACGTTTGTTTTCATGGAAAAAAAATATGGCGACTAAGAAACACTTAATGTCAACAAGATTTTCTGATTGACAAGAGAAAAGGTAAGTTTATTCGATTAATATTATCCATTGCTTGGTTCTTGTTTAAGGAAAATAGATTTTAATGTAATTTTGAAAACAATTGTGCACAAAATTAAAATAGATATATCGGAACAATTAATCCTAAGTTGCACTTGTTTGTATTTTGAATTTTCTCTGTCTTTTTAACTCTCTTGAGGGCGAGAAGTATTTAGTAAATGATCGTATATTGTTATATAATCTTTAATAAGTCGAAAGTGTTTATTATTTAATTTTTATCATAACCAACTAAGTATGTTCTGACAATGTATATTGGAAAGGGAAATGAAAATTTTAACAATCGTGTGTTCATAAATCAGCTGTAAATTATCGGTTCATGTAGACAGTATTACAATCGCAAAGTGAGCTGAGATGATGATAAATGGGATAATTGACAACAACTAAATAATTGTATGTAAGTTTATCTCATCTGATATGTAACTTAAGAGATTCATTGCATTACTGAAAAACTTTCAGTCAAAACACCGGTAGTCACCCAAGTAGTCACAAAGCAAGTTTGGAGTCCGACGAAGAGGACCTTGACAGGACCTGTGTTGGAAAAAATACCAGAAGTAACCATAAGTAAGTAAAAAAGTGCTTCTTTCTGTCTTTGATTGTGTTAATGGGTGTCTGCTTTATTTTGATTTTTTTTTAAATTATTGTTTTTGTCATTTGTTTTAATTAATTTAAAGCAATACTGAAATTGATATAGGGCTACTATAACTATTTCACACGAAGGGTGTGTAATTAGCATTGCGCTACACCCGGGGCTTCCATTTTTGAGGATGGGGCTAGTGGTTTTCTGCACTGAGGAATCCCCTTGGGCTATTAAGAATTTTAAAATACACATGTAATACATAAAAAGCACCACCGGTATTTTCACTCTTTTTTGCTATTAAATTCCCTAATATGGAAATATTCCATACAGCATGCTCATATTATCCATAAATCTCCACAACTGCATCCATTTTGCAGTACTACAAGACTGATTTTACTTAAAAACGATCTTTTATTTCCTAATTGGAATTCCCCCCTATCCATTGTTTAATATAGCAATATTTGCTTGTACATACATGTATATGCCTCACAGATATCTCATTATTAAATTATATACATTCACTCAATCAGCTCAATGATAAGTGTCATTCAATTATGTAGCGTTTTTTAAAGCCATAAATGGCGTAACTGATCAAAAAATATTTTTTGAAAAATACAAAATTAAGTAAAGAAATATAGTTAATACATTTAAATTAAAGCTTTTCATACTATTCGGAGCACGGAGAACACCTTGTTTTATCTAATAATCTTTATCTTCTCTGTAATGCGTTATTTAAATCTTTTGTATTTTCTTCCAAGTCGGAGAAAATTCCGAGAATCCAAATTAAATTTTGATATCTTTATAACGCAATTGACTTAGATTTTGTAATTTACGGAAAATTTCTATCTTTATCATGTTTATATAAAGTAATGATACAAATGATAAGTTCTTATAATTTTAGTCTAATAATTTTCATTGTACATACAACATATGTGGCTTTAAATGAGTCAAGATGAAAACAAAATGATTTTTGCTTCGTTTTAATCAGACGAACTAGTGAATGACCAGAAAAGGAATATTTCAAATCTTTTATTCATTTTTTAAAAATTATTAATTTATATATGATTAAATTTTACTAGCGAAAATTAAATTAAACTTAAATTTTAAAAAGAATCATCTGTAGTTAATACCCTGACTTTTTTCACGATAAACTTTTTTTTCAATGTTACTTTTTAATTTTTGCCTCTATATTTGGGCTTGTCACTTTTTACTCGAGGCTAGTAACTTTATTGCCACAAAGCTGTGGATTAGTACTTGATTTCCTTTATTGCACAGCGATGACTATGATTTAATAGCACAAAAAGCCAATGGGTTTACGTATGTGAATTTTTATGATTAATGCTGACTTGTGATTTTAGGATAACTGGAGATAGTGATTCCTTTTTTCCATTTATATTACATAAATATTTTCCTAAGCATTATGTTACAATAAATTGGTTTAGATTTTTTTTTATAAAAGTAATCAATAATTACAATGGAAATTAAAACCATAATCATGTTTATTGAGGATTTTCAATATGTAACAGGTCAAACAGGAACAATTAAGAACGTTGCAGAGAACACACTAATCAGAAGATGACCCTCAGAAATAGGACAATTGTAAGTAATCAGTAAAATGAACAGGA